AAAATAAATTAGGATTTACTGAAGAATTTAACATTTTTTAACAACATTTTTTTAATTTTAAAGTTCATTTGTTTTTTGTCATTTGGAATCCACAAAATACTTTTTTGGGGCCAGCACTGATTGGTCAAGCAATCTCACATGATCCTCTGCAGCAAGTGATGGCCAAGCGGGGCGTGTCATCATGTCTTTACACAAGTGTGTCTTTACCTCCAGCAGAGGCTCCGCCGAACCCCTGAGACTTTTTGTTAAAGTAAAACAGTGACCAGGACCGATTTCACAGGGGCACTGCCCCTTGTTCATTACAGATTAGGACCACCCCTGTTCCCCAAGCCTGCAGCTGCAGAACAGACTCTCACTGCAGGTCTTGATGCAGTTATTTATTTATGGTTGGAACTGTATCACTGTCATCTTTTTGAAACTTCTGATTTAAAAAGACCACGTGTATCCTGTTTGTACACATATGTTGCCATCTGCTTCCCAAACAGAACGATACATTCTGACAGCATTTGCATAGAAATATACCCATATACTGATTAATATAGCTGGGATTTCGACAAAATTCCGCCTCATGGTGTCTTATTTTGAAAATACGGATGTTGTGATTGTTCTTTTTCCTGTTGGTGCGACATGATATTTGTAGATTGACTCTGGAGCAGCTCCGGCGTCTGATCTTAGCCAAACAAGCTATATGACATGCTTGTTTAGTTTAGTGTTTCTATCTGATCTTTCCTCTGACTGGATGCTCCAGTGAAGCTTTTTATTTTTATTTTTGCAACAAAGTGACGAGTTTGGATATGGGACCGCAACCACAGAAAGACATTACTTTTTGTGGATTACCACCACGACATGGAAAATGAAAAGAGAAAAGAGAAGCAACTGGACTCCTGTTCTAAAGYTGAAGACGTGCCGAGTTACAAGATTTAAGCTGAAGATTAGTGTCTGTCAATCCTTCACCCCCGCTCCTGCAACAAAATGTTCTGAAACTCATCGGTGTCTGCCTTGGTGAAAAAGTTTCTGTCACTGTGACGAGCTGTGGTTTGGTGTAGCTGTGTAGCTGTGTTCTCGATCCTTCTTGATCCATATTCGTTAAAAAAAACACATTAATATTTGGTTTAAGCAGCCATGTGTTTCTTTAAAACCTGCAGCTCACTGGTTGAAACCAATAACAAAGGTGTGTTAACAGCCTGAGAACAGCCAAACAGAGCCAGCATGTTAATCAGTGAGACTCCCCTCCCCAAAACGCAAAATACCTGTCGGCTGTTTTTACTCTGAAAACAGCCTGAATTCAAACACAAAGTTTACCACTTTTAAACCTCTGAAACTGCTATTTAAAACAGGGTGGATTCTTCATAACTTAAACTAGTTTATTTTGCCAAAAAACGAAAATCACTGTTTTCTCAGAAAATGACAACTGATCCTTTTTTTTTCTCGGTTTGTGCTTCAGTGACTTGTCGCTGGTTTTCCTGTGGCGCGTCACATATGTTTAAAAATCTTTATTCTCATCTGACTCCAATCACACAGTTTTTCACACACATTGTTTTTCACATTAGTTTTTCTAGGTGATTCTGAAATGTTTTTATACTCAGTTTTGAGTGAGTACTTATTTTTTTGATTAAATTGTGATAATACTTGTGATAAAATCAACATAGCTTATTTGTAGGATCCTTTTTCTAAGGGTTTCTGGTCACATGGAAGGGAGAACATCCAATCACTGTGACAGATCACCCCTAGAGGAGTTACCTGGGGTCAGATTTATAAAGCTTGCATACGCACAATATGAGCCCAGAAACTTGCGTACGCCACTTTTCACGCCAATGTTGTGATTTATAAAATCCAAGCTTGACGTGAAAATGTGCGGTGCCTCACAGCTCTGACCCATGCGTACGCTCATTTTGGAGACGGGACACTGCGACACCGATGGTGAAGTGAGGAATTAGAGCCACACTGTGTAATGATCACTGTCAGATATTTAATTTACCTTCAGAATCAGACATAGATTTTTATTCAACTTTATCATCAGCTTTCTTAACAGTAAGATTTATGCTTCTGCTGCTGAGCCATGAGGACCTTTGAAATAAAAAAAACCTTAAATCTTAAATAAAAGTTCACGCATCTCATTAATTTCTTTCCTCCTCCACACAACACTGACCCACAGACCCCTCCCTGACAAGAGACATTTCAACAGCACGGTATCACGCTTTGGGTGCACGTGCAGGGCGCACCCACCCTCACCAGTGTGGATGTTATTAAACTTCACTTTTTAAAGTCTGTATTTGTCACGCGCGGGGGGTGGGGGGTGTGGAAG